ACTTACATCCTTTGGAACTGTCCAGTGCTGAATCCATTTTAGAAAGGGATTCAGACAAAATTAAAAGAATACCTGATTTTATGTTAAAATGATTAAAATAATTAATTGATAATAAAAAAAATGTTAGAACTGTACATTTACAGTCATGTTTGTATTACTGTTATATATATATTTATTTATTTTTTTTATTTTTTACTATTTTTACAAGGCTGCACTTTTAAAAAGATGAAATTGTCCAGAGAGTGGTTTCCAAACAAAATTTCTTTTTATTTTATTTTAATCTGTCTAAGTCTAAGTCACCACTCAATCCACTGTAGTATATATTATTGACCCCAAAAGAAAATATTGGGAAAATTCTGCTATTAGTAACAAGATGATTCTGTCTTGGCTTAAGCGTTTGCCTCCAACCCTTTAAAAATGTTTATATAATGGAGAAGATAGCAGCATAACTACATGTGAAAATGGACATAATCCTGGGAGAGCGGGCCCCGGCCATCACCGGATAGAGAACGCCATAGGTTAAAACAAACAAAATGGTGTCAGCCCCCATTGCATGCATCTCTCCCCTTTTATGGTAGATGTGTTTATCAATTTGATTTGTGTTTATCTGACTGTGCTCATTATTATCCACTAAATGAAAAAAGTAAGATTTTATTATCTAGAAACTATTAATAACAGGAGGTGAAATGCAGCTCCAGACTAGCTTTGAATGTGGTGATGTCATCAGTGAGCTGCTGTTCTAATTGACCCAGATTTATGCTGTGTGCTCCGGTTCTCCCAGAGTCCAGACTTTCCTGGGTTTGTCTATGTGAGCCCACCAGGATCCTGCTAAGAACCGTCAGCTGCTGAAAGACACCTGAATGTTTGCTGAACCCCACCCCATTTTATTATCTTACTTAAATCAATTATTATTATTATTTTAAATGTAAATTGTCTTGTTCCACTGGCAAAGAGTCTCATTTGCCTCCTTAATTCAAGAAAAAATAAACTTATGTTAAGAAAAATAATTTTCAATTTTCAGTGTTTGAGTTAAACTTTAAAGAAGCGACTTAAAGGAAACGCGCTCCTACACTGAAAAAGGAAGGAAAAATGTCTTAAATTAAGTGTATTTACCCTTAATTGAGCAGGTAAATGAGATAAATTGCCAATGGAATGAGTATTTTTACTCTTAAAATAAGATAATTAGATAATTTACACTTGAAATAAGACAATATATCATGTTTTCTATTTTAAGTGTAAATTGTCTTGTTCCGGTGGCAAAATGTCTCTTTTTGCTCCCCAAACCAAGAACAAATGCACTTATTTTAAGAAAAAAATGACTCATCCAGATTTAGTTTTTTTTTCCAGTGTAGCACCAGGTAACCAATGAAATGCCTCCTCACATTTGAGCACGTTGTCGGCGTCGGCAGGATCCTGCAGGATCTTGGAGAGGCCATCCAGCAGCATGGCAGCCTTGCTGTAGCGATACGCGATGTCCTCCGTTTGCTTGAACATCTCATCCAGAGCTGCAGACTGAACCTGGAGCACACATCATGGAAGCATGGAGCGTTAGCCGCGTTAGCTCGTCACGCCTCAAGTCTTGAACACACAGACTTTTAATCTACAATCATATTTTCTTTCATGTCACAATGAGTGCGTATAGAGAGACTCCGACTAGACAGGGTGAGCAGATCTGTCTCTGTGCTGTTCACACATTAACACTATTTCCCACATTTGACTGGAACAGATTATGAAAAGTTATTAAAATAAAAACCAGTGGTTCATTCTATAAAGCAAAGCTCTACTTAACGAGTCTATGCAGCATCTAGAACCAGAACAAAAACATAATGAGATCTATTTCTAAAGAAAAGAAAATGGCAGCAATAAACTCTGTGGGACGGTTTCCATGG